GGTATAATGAAGATGATTGTTATTGTTTCTGGAGCCCTGCGCGGGTCTGTTTCCTTAAAGGGGTCATGACATGTTTTTTTTAATTATTTTAATGTACCTTGAGGTTTACTTATAATGTTAATAAAGTTTTTTGCACAAAAAAAACAAATAAATATGTGGAAAAATGACCCTCATTCTGACCCTCTGTCTAAAATGACCTGTTTTAAGGGGCGTGTCCTTTAAGGCTTCTCAGTAATCGGCCGCTGTTGTGATTGGCTAACATCATTTCATAGGAAACAGTATCAACGCCCCTCACTATGGACCTCTTTCACGTGTGTGTGTTTCTCAGCAGCGGAAGTCGTCATAGTTGGGTTAACTTGAAGAGCAGTGAATGGGAGAGTAACACAAATATATTTCTTGCTTTCCCATTTGCTCCGATAGCAAAAGAAAAACTCCACGATAGTGTTTTCATGACTCTCAATAAAAGGAAAAAATTGAGAGAGACTGATAGCGGCTGTGAGTTTACCGTCCCTCCCAGAGACGCTGCATCAGCGTTAACTGTTTTTTTTGTAATTTGATGCAAAGGTGATATAATACAAAGAATAGTGTTATAAATGTACATTAAAAAAAAAAAATACAAATATGAAAATCTTTCGAGGATTTACGATACTGATGACCGTTAAACGCGTCATCACAGTCTTGTGAAAAGCGTCCATTGCATGTTTTGAGTGTTTTGACAACAAAATAAAAAATAAAACCGTAATTTTCCTGACAAAGCATTATGAAATCATGTACTTATGGTTTGTGATGCAGCTGCAGTCAGATCTAGCACCGCTTCATCTTTCAACACATGTTTCTTTGTGACTCTCCATGACACTGTGCCTCGATTACAAAACAAAATCCTCCGGCACGATCCGGGACGCCATTAAAATAAACTGTCCACTTGTTCCTTACTCTGGGCTCCTTCTGATATCTGTACAAAGACTGCATTTGTCCTGACGACAGACTCGTGCGCTGGACTGTGTCAGAAAGAGAACCGCATCTGTTTACTGTATCCAGTGTAGACAAGATAGCGCAGTGATTGTAGTTTCTATTTGCTTTTGACGCGACGCTCGCATTCAGCTGATCAAGCCGTTAGCGACTGAACGCCAGTGGGCGGGGCCTATGTCGACGTGTCACTCTGGGGGCGGAGTTTATGCAAATGTTTGTGCCCTGTGACATCACCTTGCACCTCAGATCCAAACGAGCCGCTTCTGGAGCTTGATTAAATAAATGCTTTGTTTATAATGAGGAGGACGTTTTAAGCTATGACACTTGCAGGATGTATTAATGGTACAAAGACCTTTTATACGCCAAAAGATCAAGGGAAATATGATTTCTCATGTCATGACCCCTTTAAATCCGCACCTGCCCGCTCCCGTGGACTTTCTCTCAGAGCTTGTGAAAAATGTACAGAAATACTCAGACTAAATATTTGTTCAAGTTAACATCCAGAATAACAGGCTTTAAACATGATTGCGTTTAAATAAGGTGAAGTGATGCTAAACCAAAGCACCACACGTGACAAAAACATTGGGTATTTTTTTTATTAGCGTTATAAAACATTAACCGTTAAAACAAAACCACAACTAGTGGCACCTCAGGTTTTAAACGTACTGCATGATACACATGCACCAAACGATTAACTAAACAAACTGTTTAAGTAAATAAGCCAAAGCACAATATGAAATGACTAACTTATTAAATAAACACATAGAACTTAGAAAATGGGCTAGGTATAATTTAAACACATTAAATACAAAACGAAATAAAATAAATTCAATGCCTCAAAAAATCTCACAGATTACACATTCACAATAGCTTGCTTAACAGGCTATTGCAAAAAAGAAAATAAGTAATACTAAAAAAAAATAACGTAGCCTACTTAACAAACAAATGAATGTGATCACTGGGCCTCGCATTCCTTATGAAGGAAAAGTATATTGCTGACTGACTGCGGTCCCAGACTTGTGCGTCTCTCCTCCAAAGAAACACCGAGTGTCTGACGGTGCACTAGATGAGTGCTCAAAATAAAACCTGCACATTTTGAGAGGACAGGATAGCGCTCTGTTGAACCTCCACACTGAAGCACATTCTCTGGATCTGGTTTGTCTGCGAGTCGGCTGCCAAGATATTCTGCTATTTCAGCGGCGATGGGCTTTGGTTCTGAATAGAGATGTAACGGTAACTGTTGATGTCACTCTGGAGCCCTGTGCTGGATGGTATTTATTGATCCTCAGTTGTTCAAATCGCGGTAATCAAATACGGTTATAGTGATAATTAAAATATGAAACGATAATACTATCCGTGAGGTATTTTATCATGATTTATCATCAAACCGGTAATCGTTACATCCCTAGTTCTGAAATCTGTGAATCGGTCGAAGCAGCTTTGCTTTTTGGCTGGAGGTGGTTTATCTTGTGCTGTGGCCAGGACCTGCGTAAAACTTCATCTTTTGGATAATTTCTTTTGCACCTTTGAATTGGATTGTAAAAAAAAAAAAAAAAAAAGGCATTAATTCCTAGGCTATTAAAATGAGTTTGTTTGTCCTAAACTCTTATTCAATTACTTTTTAAAGATTTTTATTCATTGTCATTTATTTCTTTATATTTCTTGACTTTATTAAACTTATTCTAATTTGTAAATGCAGTGCATGTATTTCATTTCTTATTTTCAAAGCACATTGCTTGTTTTCTTAGGAAGTCTAATGCGAATAATCTATTATTCGTATACAAGGTCTGTTCTTTTCACAAATACAATTAAACTATAATTTTGCTTTAGAATGTCTACAAACAAATTAAATAACATAATATTCAAAACAATATAGCCTATTTTAACTAGGGGTGCTCCGATCAGGGTTTTTGAGGCCGATCACCGATACCCATCTTTTTAAAGCCTTCTTTTTATCATTTATAACTATTTATAGTGATACTCCAATCAGGATTTTTAGACATTTATTCAGGGCCTGAATTTCATTTCTGAAAATGTGGGTAATTAAAAAATACACACCACATACGCACTGCAAACGGAGTAATGTGAACTAGAGGTCTTCTCGGGTCCTAAAATCTGTACCCGAATCGACCCGAATCATTTCTACCCGAACCTGACGTGCATAAATTTATTTTTTTTAAAGAAAAACCCGACCCGAGACAGGCCCGATGAAATTAGACCCGAATCCGACACGACGCTTTCAGTTGTGACCAGTGGATTTGAAAAATAAACGTGATAGTTTGATAAAAATCGATAGCTTAATCATGGATTCGCTGTTGTCTGCAACCTGATCTCCGGCGAAAGGCTTCTGCAAACAAAAAAGAAAAGCCCTGCATGAACACGCAGCATGATGAAGCGAGTGGATTTTCCTGATGGATCTCATATCTATAAGATGATGTCTGTGTGCGAGGATTACGAATGTATGCTCCTTTTCTATGTGCGTTCCTCTCTTAACACGAAAGTGAATGAAGCCATGTGCGTATTTTGAGAGAGAAAGAGAGAGCGCGCGGTGATTCACTCACGCTGTTTGTGAAATTATGTCTCGCACAAGGTTATTTAATTAAAAAATATGAAGGTGAGTACCTCACCTAAAGCATTATAATGATTTCACCCGCGCTGGACAGAGTCTGAGACGGTGCCGCTGCATGTCGAGCCAAACCTCTCACAGCAGCGCCATCAGCTTGAGATCGGCCTTTTAGAGACCGCCGATCAATCATCCCAACGTGATTATCGGCCGATAGTGATCGGTAGCCGATCAATCAGAGCACCCCTAATTTTAACTATATTCATATTACACACCTCTGATCACGTCATCTCTTGCATCTGGGCACAACATCCGTAGCAATCGCATCTTGGGAGTCAGGAACGTTGCAGTTCTGTAGATCATGTGGAGGGGGTTTGCTGATGTGTCACTAGAGTCCATCAGTTCTTCGGAGAGCACAGGCTCGAAGGATGCTGCTTGACGGACCATGGACCAAGTGATGCGCTTGGAGAGGAGTTTTCGGACTCGAGGTCGTTAGTAGCCTCTTTAAATAACTTGAGAAACGCAACGACTGTTTTCAAACTGTTTTTATTTTGTCATACTGGTTATTGGCCATCAACAATGTGGAGATCTCCTCATGCTGTTGCATTAGTGAATCTAGCATCTCGTGATTTGAATTCCACCTGGTCTCGATGGATTGTTTGAGGGATGTCTTCGAGCTGTTCTGCAGTCCTGAATGTTTGAGATATTTTACCAGTTTTTTGCACTGGTCAACAGTTCAGACAGCTGGGGTGTCTGGGGCGAATGCGCTGGACAGGGTGACGTTCAGCCTGGTGTACTATATTAGCGCCGCGATCAGTCACAAACACAACACGGCCGACCAGCAGTGACGTGTCTATTCCAAAAGCAGAGTTTCTGGAACAGCATGTTTCTATTGTTCTCCTGTTTTTGACGCACTGTTTTCGAATGGAGCCGCAAACAATACTATTGAAACAAGAACAAAACCATCGTTTGTGTAATGACTGGTGCTGGATATGAATGAAGTTTTATGGTAATCCTCAGTCCTCAATGATGGGCTTTATCTCCATTGCCACAGACGACTGCAGGGCCTGTGCTTTCCCTCAATATGTCGAGACACTGGTTGGATCTCTCACATCAAATGTGCCATATTTAGCAGCTACATTAACAAAGTGCTGAACTATGTCAACAAAGCCTTTCCCGGCAGCAAAGTCATATGGTCTAATGTCTTTACAGCAAAGTGCGACACATTGTTCTGTAGTTTCTTGTTTAACGTGAGCATGGGGGAATGAGAGTTTGCTTTGACCGTAGAGAACTGTGCAGGTATGTCTCCTCAGGGCAGAGGTGCCAGATTTATGTCGGTTGTAAACGAACACTTTTGCACATTTATCAAATCTTACGAAGTTGAACTCTTTCCCATTTTTTTCCAGTGACAGTTGAGAATGGTTTTTTAGATGTCTGACTTGCCTTGCTTTGCTTTTGTCAAGTAAACAGCTGCTTTAATTTTCTTAACTTCATGTGTTGACTCATTTCTATTACACGCCAAATCCCACATTCCCTGCGGGTCTCCCGCGAAATGTTCTGACCGCCCGCAGCAAAGGTCAAACTCCCGCGGGAGCCCAAACCCAGTGCAGCCCTCTAATTGTTAGGATGATTGTTGGTGGTGGTTGTTTTGATGATGATGATAAAGATGACGATGATGATGAAGATGAAGATGGTGGTGGTGATGATGACGACTGTGACGAAGATGATGATGAAGATGGTGATGAAGATGTGATGATGATGATGATGAAGATAATGATGGTGATGGTGATGATGTTCTGTGTCTCAGTGGGGTCCAGTATGGTGGAGCTGTCGGTGGTGGAGGCGGCGGTCCAGGACTGCAGTCAGGCGTGTGATGAAACCATGTGAGAATCTCATTAACATCTGAACTGACACACACTGTTTGTGCTTCTGTCTCTGACATTCACCTTCTTTACTCACAGCGACAATGTTTTCAACATCATTGGAGCCTTTGACGTGCCTCGATTCATCTTCAGCACAGAAAGAAAGAAATTCGTCCCGTAAGAAATAATTCGATAGTCAATAATAATCTAGTGCATGTGATTTATGTTGGAGTGAAAACATTATGATGAAAAGCACTGATGTATGCGTTGTGTCTCGTCTGCTGTGTTTGTGTGAACTTGAAGATGTTGTCCATCTGCAGGAATATGAAGTGTTGATCAGTGTTTATTCTCTCTCAGCATCAGCATGACGAATCATCCGGTCCCTAAACTCTGCGGTCAGTCCAGAGATAAAGCCGAGCTCTTCAGAGAGAGATACACTATCTTGCAGCAGGCCAGTTATTTCCTTCCTAAATCATAGCATGTGTACATGTGAATGCTTGTGACAGGTGTTAACATCTGTCTCTGATTAACACCTTTATCTGATCTGACATGCATTCTGAGTAAGTTGAGCATAACATGGACTTTAGTAAGTTTAACCTCAGTGTCTTAAAGATTACCTAGTTATATGGGCAAACTACCTTGTGAAATATTATTATATTACATTTAGTGTTGTCAAAATGCTTTGTTGTCAGTTTGCTTAAAAGAAAACAGTGTGTTTGAATGTTTTTCCCGCCATTTACATGTGGCTGGGTGATTTTTTTTTTATATTAACATTTTTTAAAAATACAAACCCTCTCATAAAGCGAAAATTTGCAGCAGAACAGCTTTACAAACAATTTACACAAAATAATTCTGCTAATGTTTGATGAATGAGGCCCATTGCACAGTAGCTCAACAGAAATTCACAATCTTTATAATATCTTAATGCATCATGGTCACACTGGGCAGTTTAGATGACAAGGCTTTTCATGCAGTGACTGATAGTTTGCAGTGATTAAAATCATAGTCCTGAAATGCATGTTAATAGCAGGTGTAAACGGTTTATCATTATTTAATCGTTATTCGTTTACAGAGAACACACAGGCATGAACTCTTCACTCCTCCTGTTATTGGTTCAGCTCCAGACGAAGGGAGGAACAAATTCCAGGTGAAAATGCACAAAGCTCACTGTGGAGACGGTTAAAGGGCAGGCAGACTATTTTCAGTCGGTGCTGATGATCTGTGACTGTTTTACAGCTGAAGACGGTGGAGGCTCTTCTGGGCAGCACAGCTAAAGTCGGAGAAGTGATTGTTCTCGGCATGATCACGCAGCTTAAAGAGGTATTCCTTCACTTTCCACATTCATGCTCCTTTCTGTTCAGCTGTCTGTGCTTGTGGGTTAGTCAAGGGCTCGTTGTGGGTTAGTCAAGGGGGTTTAGTCTATATTATTGACTTCAGTTAATGAATTCTGTTATGAGTTAAAGTTAACTAATGACGTCAAGGAGGCGTTTTAACAGAGCCGTAGCTTTACCTTTACTCTGTCCATAGAGCATTTGTCAACATCAGAGCACATATACATAATGAATTACATAGTCTCTTACTCACTTAATTTTAATATTAAAATTAATTGAGCCAATGATGACTCCGAAAGAAAACGTGTGCAGGATCCTGCTGTTGCTATAATATGAACACAACTTTCACATGCATCTGATTGACAGGTAAACCACACATTCATATGTCAGTGTTTCAGCATTAATTTTGTGGATATTTCAGAAAGTTTTCTTCATAAATTCAGTTTAATAGCAGTAAGTTAACTCTTTCCCCGCCAGTGTTTTTGAAAAAAGTTGCCAGCCACCACCAGCATTTTTGACGATTTTCGCTAAAATTTCATGGCCCCCAGAATATTTTGTTGTGTGAGTAAATGAACATGCAATACATCAAAATAATGAAGAGCGATGATCAAAGCAAAGATGCAGTAGATGGCTTCCATCAGCGCTCCCAAAGCGTGCAGTCCTTTACCACTTTCTCGATCGACATTTCGTTTTCATTTATATGCCGTTTATTGTTTATGATCACATTATTTTTCATATGCATAAATATGAGATCACTCGTTTCTGCGTCTTCCTCGCCTGTGTTTTTGATCGAGTGATTCTACACTCATTCAGGAGATGCGTAATAGTGCCCCGAGCGTATAACAGTGAAAACACAGAAACCCGGTAAATTCTGTGTCTGGAGAGGAAAGAGTTAGAGTTTATCATGTGCATGTGTAGTTTAAACACTTACATGATGTGCTTGCTCCGTCCACGCAATAAATGCACAGCCTTGAATGAGTGCAGTTTTCTAGTGTATTCACCTTAACTTCTCAACGTCAGTGGTGTGAGTCGTTTCAGATGCAGCCAAAATCATGACAACAGTGGGTTATATATAAATGTATTTTAATAGTTTGATTGTTAGGGACGGTTCAGTAGTGGCTGGACATCTGTAGTGTCTTTACTAAACTCTACAGTCTTGATTAAAGCATGAGTCTGTTGTGTCTGCTCATACTCACTCTGTACTTTCAGGGCAAGTTCTACCTGGAGGACCCCAGCGGCGCAGTGCAGCTCAACATGTCAAAGGCAATATCCTTCCTGTGTTTATCACGACACACTTGTGCTGCTGTCTTAGAGAAGGTTCTCCATTTGTTCTTTAACGCTCTTCATACCAGTTCCACAGCGGTCTTTACACCGAGTCCTGCTTCGTTCTGGCTGAAGGCGAGTCTCGTTCTCTCTGCTGTTCTGCTCTGCTGTTCTGCTCTTTCTATCCCTGGATCGTGGATCTCTGTAATTACATGATCTGTCTGTGTTCACAGGATGGTACGAGGATTCAGTGTTTCACGTCAACGCTTTTGGGTTCCCGCCCACAGAACCCTCTTCTTTCACCAGGTGTGCGTTAGCTTCTGTTGACTGTAGTATGGACGGTGTCGCTGGCATAGTTCTGCATCCACATGGAGTTTTCTTGTCTGTGTCCAGGGCTTATTACGGCAATATAAACTTCTTTGGCGGGCCGTCCAGCACTGCGGTCAAAGCATCGGCCAAACTGAAGCAGCTGGAGGAGGAGAACGAGGACGCCATGTTTGTGATCGTGTCAGACGTGTGGCTGGACCGTGTGGAGGTTCTGGAGAAGATCCAAACCATGTTCTCAGGTCCAGTGATTCTCTTGTTCTCGCGTGTTTTAGTTTGTGCTCCCAAATGTGAACAATCTCCCAAAACACACATGATATGATGAACATCACTTTTAATATAGTCACCCTGTGCTGCAAAATAAGCATTACATCATCCTGCTTTCTATTAGCATTGCTCAAATCATCATGAATAATAATAAATGATGTGAGCTGCGACGGTCACTCTGCTAAAGCAAATGTAAACTGAATCTGCAATCGTGTTTGGAATTTGACCGCAATATGTTAATATCTGCAGCCTTCAAACAGGTCCTTGTGCTCGTAGTCTGTGTGTTTTTCCTCATGTGTCTCATCACAGATCAGAGCGTGTGTTCGTCTCTCATCAACTATAATCAGTCTTTCCAGCAAAATGCAGAATAATGGCATGGAGAATAATTACATTTAAAGATTCTGTTATCAGATGTATTTATTTCTCTTCATAATATCAAGCTTACGGAGCTGCTTTCTTATTGGCTGCAAAACAAAAAACGCTGCTTCCATTTTAGAGCATCTCTAGAGATCATTAGAAACGAAACAGTGTGAGCTTTTCCTTGAATAATCACACCCATCATGCCTTCATGAATTAGTATGTGTGTGATTGACTGAAATGCTGAATGGTTTCAGGCTACTCTGCCATGCCGCCCACCTGCTTCATCTTCTGTGGGAACTTCTCTTCAGCTCCGTACGGCAGACACCAGCTCCGAACACTCAAAGGTTTGACGTCTCTGAAGAACTGCTGCTGTTGCACGATCATGTTTAAAGCTAAACTAATTGTTCTCGATGCAACAATGTTGTTTGCAGAGTCTTTTAAAGCACTTGCTGATCTCATTTGTGAGTATCCCAGCATTCACAACAGGTAAGACATTTGAATTGACTTGAAAGCTTCAGACAAAGATTTTTTTGTTGTGATGTCTCTTTCTGAATCACTGCTCGACACAGTGTCATGGACTTCACTGACTCCTCTGAAACGTGTTTTTGCAGCAGTCGTTTTGTGTTTGTTCCCGGACCAGAAGACCCCGGGCCCGGCACAGTTTTACCCAGGTATAACGTTAGGAGCAGCGTTTCAGTCAATGACGTACTAGAACCGTCTTCATTCACATGTCAATCATGCTCTGAATGACTGAATACTCTTTAAGTGTAAAGCTGTTTCTGCTGACGAGAGTGTGTGTGAGCTGTGCGATCTCCGGTGTGTGAGTGAGAGTGTGTGAGCTGTGCGATCTCCGGTGTGTGTGTGTGTGTGTGTGTGAGCTATGCGATCTCCGGTGTGTGTGTGTGTGTGTGTGTCAGTCAGTAAGCAGCGCATGTAATATAGAACGGTAATTAAAGGCTCTGATGCACACCAGTATTATATGTGTGTGTATTGCAGGATATACGGTCTGTACAGTAGAAAAACCATTACGCCTATGGAGAGTCCCCACTTTTCACAAAAACAAACCTGTGTGAGAGTGAGAGTGAGTGTGTTTGTGTTTGTGTGTGTGAGAAGAGTGAGCTCAATGTGTTCAGTGTGGGTTGTGTTCAGGATTCAGTACTGCAGTCAGGAGATGGTGGTGATTCGAGAAGATCTGGTCAATAAGATGTGCAGAAACTGTGTTCGACTCCCAAGCAGCAACCTGGACATTCCTTCTCACGTGAGCAAGAGCTTTATATATATATAGATGTTTGTGTGTGTGTGTGTGTGTGTGTGTGAGTGAGAGAGGTCAGACTTCTGAGATTATAGTCATGAGCTGTTTGTACAGCTGTTGCTATTGATTTCTTTTGAGTAAGCAGTTAGTTACTTTGGCCGTAATCAAGTAACTGGATCAATTTACAGTTTTTTTTTTAATAGTAAATACCGGTAATAAAAATAGCTTAAAGTAAATGATAACATGGCATACTTTGCATTTTAAATAATTATTTAACGATCCTTTAATAATACAACTACAATACCAATGTCATAATAATGACTGGATCATAGAGGGCCAATCCCATTTCTACCCCTCCGTTTGGTGCGTTCACGTGAAGGGCTGGGTCTCGGTTCTCTTTTGGTTGGAGGGCAGGGGCCAGATAGCCCTTCAAATGAAGATTAGTCGGGACCACACTTTCAAACTATTATCAGCATAAACCGGTTACATTCAATCATGTGTTCATATTTACGGTCATGTTATTTAAAGAAATGTTTGCAAAAAATCACTAAAGTTTGCTAACATTGCTAACGTCATATCATTACAGACTGCACGATAGTGCCACAATATATTTGCGTGTCTGATCAGGGCGATAACCACTGTAGACATTGAGAGAGCTAGTCCCCCAATAATTAGAAATCGCTAAACCATTTTCTCAAATATTGCCAATTCAAGAGAGAGATGAAAGTTGTGTGTATATGCGTGTCTGTGCGTCTCTCTTTACAATGAGTGAGTTCACTTCAAAAACAGCATTGCTGGAAAATATGATGATGAGTATTTAAACGGTTAAGTAAGTCGCGGGGCAGCATTGACCAGGAGCTAGACGACGTATGATGACGTGTGACAGTATAGTAGTGGTGTCCCAGTTCTTAGGGGAATATTTTGACCTCTACACCTTCACACTCTGTTTCAAGGGACAAGGTGAAGGGGAGTAAAATAGAATTGGGATTGGGCCAAAGTATAAATAAGCATAACGCATAAGAAATGTTTTGCTATTATTAAACTACAATGGAACAGCAGACATGTTTTATACTGCAAATAAACAACAAAAATGATTATAAATAGTCATTATGGGGATATTAGGGTGATAGTTGTTAGACTTTGCATATCAATATACAAATCAAATTCTTATATATTTTTGAGCTTTGTTATTCAAAATGTCATATCACTCAGTCTTTAATATTTTACTGTTTCCCTATGATAGAAAAGCTACAGCGACTGTAATTTCTTGAACATCGAACACATGAACAAAAATCTGCAAAATATTTCTAACTTGTCATATAAAGACGTGTATCTGTGGAAAATACTGATGATTCATGTGCATCTGACAGTGATACTGATCATAAATGTCTGCTTTCTGCTAAATGAAGTGCTCAGGTTTGTCATTTCATCAGTTCCTTAAGTGCTTTCTACAGATCGCTGGTCTCTGAATTGCTTGCTGATATACAGTAAGTGTTTGGTTAATTTTGCGTTTGTTCAACAGTTTGTGAAAACCATCTTGTCACAAGGTCATGTGACGCCGCTGCCGCTCTACGTGTGTCCGGTGCACTGGCCGTATGATTACGCTTTACGCGTTTATCCCGTTCCTGACGTCATCGTCTTCGCCGACAAATACGACCCGTTCAACGTATGCAACACCGACTGCCTGTGCATCAACCCGGTACACTTGCACCATATTCATGTGAACATGAAATATATATATATATATATATATATGTGTGTGTGTGTGTGTGTGTGTGTGTGTGTTATGGCTGGACTGATGGAATCTGATCGTTCTGTGAGTTTGATCTGTTGCTGTCTTACGCTTTCAGGGCTCTTTCCCAAGAAGTGGCTTCTCCTTCAAGGTTTACTATCCGTCCAACAGAACAGTGGAGGACAGGTATGATTATTAATAATGCTTCAACATTTACACATTTAAAGACACTGCTTTGAGAATCATCTCTTATATTTCTCATTCTTACCTTTACAGCAAATTGCAAGGGCTTTAAACGAGTGGAACGCCGTGTGCTTCATGTTTTTAATGTTTATTTCTATTGCACTCTTTAAAATGTAGATTCCTCTTTAGATTCTGTTACAGTAGTTTCATACAGCAATGTTTGATTTGTGTTGATGCACTTTTAAAGTAAAATAAATATGGATAAAATGTGGTTGTTGTGGGATTCATTATATCATTATGATATATCTGTTCATATGTGAATCTTAGTTTGTTCAAAACCATATATACAATATCTAGTATAGATGAAAAGTCTTTGGAGCTGCTGAATGCATTTTTCAATGTGAATATTTGGATCGAAACAAGTGGAATCTGCCTGATGTTAATTTAATGAAATTTGACAGATATATTTACATTAGGGAGGTTAAAATTATTATTATTAATATTACACTAACAGTACAGGTCAATATCTCGCTATATTGTAAATTGCTTGTTTTTCTGGTGTTCATGACAAATAGTCACACTAATCATTCTTATCAGATATATTGATGACCAAAACAATGGCGTTATCCTCATAAAAGCAGAAATGCTAGCCATGGGGCAATTGTTTACAATGTAATCATATCTGCTGGATAAGTTTGCCATGTTAAGAGAGTTTAAAGGTTAATTATCACGTGCTGTGGGCGGTCCAGAGAAGGTCATAGCCTACTTAATATTCATGAGCCACATCTTTAAATACTGCGGCGATTTCTCCGTTTTCTGGACTCCACACCAACTCTTCTTCTTGATATTCTTCAGCCAGAAAGTCATCTTCATCTGATTTACTGAGTCGCTGAATCACCGAGGGTTTTTAAAAGCAGTAAGTCTTGTTTTCGGTTTACTTTCACTTTGTAAACGAGCAAAGAAGATCATCGAAATGATTTCATCGCTTTCCGTTTCTAGTGAATGTTTTTTGTCAGTTTGGCCAAAAACAGAAGACTCGTGTTCTAGTAGTCGCGTGTTTAAAGCAGGGCTGGACACTATGTAAACGGTATTATTATCATGTCATTTGCTACAGGCTACAGTGAAGAACGGAACGTTCCGATTAGCTTTTTTAAAAAGTTGTTAAACAGTGTTTAGCACAAACCGTGGGTGAAAATATGTGACTTGTTAGACATTGAGAAATGACCAATGATGGAAACCCGTTTAGCAGGAAAGTCTTTAATCCTAGCAGACCAATAGTTTGGTGTTTTAAGAACAACAGTCTACGATTATGACTACGAACACAAAGTATGGCAATAAGAAGAAGAGTGGGCGAAACAAATTAGCTCAAGATCCTCCATCAAATCATCGGCGACAGAAGTGGAAAGTTCTGCTAACAATCAGCAAATGAAAGAATACAGACGCAGATCATTTCCAACATGACAAATACACGAGCAGCGATGATCTGCTAACAGCACAGGCACAAAACGGGTTCATACATGCTTTTTGGGCGTTAAATGTCGCAAATGCCAGTAAACTAGTTTCCACAGACCATAACCTTTAAATACCCTCCTCCCGGAAATGTTGCTTCTGGAAGGAAACCTCATACAAATGCATATGCAATAGGATCAGCCACAGAAATAAGTGTCCATCGCTAATGTTTAACTGCGTGTCTTTAGTAAATCCTGACACTAGTGTTTCTGGTTGGTGTTTTAACGCCAGAAGAGGGTTGCTGGTGCTGTTTGTAAATCTGGCTTAAAGTCCACGTGAAACTGTTCTAGTATTGTGAAGTGTTTCCGACTGAAACAGAGTATTTCGATGTTCAGGTCAGAAGTTCTAGAAGCTGATAATTCATGCACAGCTAAGGTCTGAAGAGACTGATGTGAAATCAGACAGAAGAGAAGCCAGTCAGTTGAGTTTGTGGCAAAACAGTGCTTGGATGTTGTCTTTCACTGCATATGATAATTCATACTCAGAAACTAGAACTGAAATCAGCAAAACTGTCTATTCAGTACAAGATGAAGATTAGTTAAAACATTTCAAAATGCACCTGCAGGAAATTGTATTTTGTAATTGAAGATTTCTTAAAACACTGTGTACAACTCCATGTAAAAAATAATTGGAGAATGTGCAAAGGATTGTGGGTGATTGAAGCACATGAAGGATTCAGCTGCTGTATTCTTCAGAACGGTCGAATGAAGGACGCCATACGAAGACTGGGCAGTTTCTTACACTGTAGACTATTCAAACGTTATATGAATATATTCTAGGAAGAAGGAAGCTGTCTTAAAAGGTGGTGGTAAAATACCTTAATAAAGATGTATTTCCCTGATGATCCCATTATTTTGTCCAACGCTTCTATGTAAGTTTACAGCAGCTGTTTATTTTTGAGCAGATTGTGTAGTCATGACAGATTATGTCTAAATAGACACAAGTTATGAAATATAATGTGCAGCAAACACTGATTTGTTGTCTCAGAGCATCATCATGGTGAACTGCTGTGGTCTCGTGACTGAAAAAAACGAACCAGGTATAAACATCTCTTCCTTTTAATCAAAGCTTTAACAGTTTGTTTCATATTGTGTCTGTCTCTTTGTAATTCCACAGAAGTCATGATTTTCTTCTGTTTCTCTCTCAGTTCCTCTGAAGAGCATCTCGGTGGAGCTGCAGGTTCAGGATCACGTGGCGTCTGTCCGCTCCTGTCTGCAGTATGTGAATGAGGAGCAGCGTCCGCTGGAGGCCGTGTTCGTCTTCCCGCTGCCCGCCGACGCCGCCGTCTGCCACTTCAGCGCCAGGATCGGAGAGCAGGAGATCAGGGCCGAGCTGCAGGACCGACAGAGCGTGAGTCTGCATCTTTCTCTGATGTGTCTGATTGTGTTGGAGTGTGTGGATACGGATGAGTTTGTCTCTCGCAGGCGCGGGATCAGTATGATGATGCTGTGAGCTCGGGGCAGCAGGCGTTTCTGCTGGAAGAGAGCGAGGAGAGTTCAGATGTGTTCAGACTGAGTGTGGGCTGTTTGTCTCCGGGTCAGAACGCCTCCATCAGCATCGTCTACATCATCGAGCTCAGCATCCAGGCCGATCACGCGCTGCGCTTCTGTCTGCCGGCTGTACTCAACCCACGATACACACCAGCAGGTGATCCTTACTGATCTCAGGAGCAACATGAGATGATGATGAAGACCTCAAGATCATAATCATATACAGACCGCGACCGTCCACATCTGTAGCTTAGTTACAGAAGTATTCTCTAATATGCTGCTTTGCTGCTCAAGAAACATTTCTGATTATTATCATCAATGTTGAAAACATTTTGTTCACATTCAGACGATTAAAAAAAAACTTTGATTCATAAAGGATGGATCAAATTGATCAAAAGTGACAGCAAAAACATTTATATTTTAGATAAATTATGTTCTTTTGAGCTTTCTATTAAACAAATAATCCTGAAAAACTGTCACAGCTTGCACAAAAACATCAAATCTTAATTATTCCTAGCTTTTGATAGTTAGTGTAAGGTTCAGAGAGTGTGTGGCATCATCTGCACGGCAGAATGAGTGCTTGATCATGTAGTAGAACTGCAGAAATCTAATGCATTTTAAAGGGGTTTTACATTAGGAATGTGTGTAGTTCAGAGGTTTCATGATCAGCAGTCGAAACAGCTTTTTATAACAAGTGGGAGCAGCAATTCTCAACCAATCGGCTGCGGCCTAAATCAGCCTGATGCACAGGTCACTTCCGGTCAGAAATGAAGGCTCTAGATTGATCCGGAGTTATAAAGTGTCTCTGTTTGTCTGTGTGGTTCTCTCAGCTTCAGCGGCTGGAGTTCCAGAAGTTTCCTCCGCATCTGTTATTCCTTACACTCTGTCTCTGAGTGTTGAAGTGAGATCTTCAGACTGCATCTCCAGACTCGAGTCCAGCTGCGCTCTGGATCCTCTGGAGTTCCTCGACGCGCAGCACACTCACGCCACGGTACTGTGTGTGTGTGTGTGTGAGAGTGTGTGTTTTCTCGTTCTGTGTGTGTGTGTGTGTGTGTGTGTGTGTGTGTGTGAGTGTGAGAGTTGGCTTTGCTGTGAAGTCTAAACTGCTGCAACGCATTCCGGAATCCCCTATTGGCATCAATGAAAGACTGATGACATGGCGTATTCCTCTGACAAAGAAACGCTTCGCCACTCTCATCAGTGCATACGCTCCAACTCTTGATGCCGAGCACAACATCAAAGAGGATTTCTATAGAGCTCTTGATGCCATCCTACAGAAAACCCCGGCTACGGACAGGCTCATACTCATGGGAGATTTCAATGCTAGAGTGGGTACGGAGCACCTGGTATGGAGTAAAGTCATCAGCCAGCATGGTGTGGGGAAAATGAACCATAATGGGCTCAGACTCCTCTCTCTC